AATTACATTCAAAACAAACGCGAGCTCCGCAGCTCGTCTTCGAGGTTAAAACATAGCCCGTCCACCCACACCTCGTTCAAGCAAGCTCTAGCTCACTCATCGCTTACTCGTTTGGAAGGGGGGGGGGGGGGGGGGGGGGGGGGGGGGGGGGGGGGGGGGGGGGGGGGGGGTGGGGTAGTCCTATTTCACCGACCTCGAAGCCCAAGCACTCCCAACCTCCCACACCTCGACATAAGCGAGCTACAATACACACTTACCTCACTCCTCCGGGGGGGGGGGGGGGGAGGAGCCACCTATCCTAGATGCCTTCCCAAGCAGCACAAGTTACACGCTTCTCATTACGCAAAACAACTAAGTTCGGAGTCCTACTCCACTTCACAGGTTCGGCCATATTTACAATTTGACTTCAACCATAGCCGGAGCTCCGGACCTCGAATTGACGAGCCCAACGCAGCTTGCAGTTCGACAGGGACGACCGAGCCCTATGTTTGGAACTCAGAACAAAATCAAACCCCCTTCTCCATCTCAAAGCCGAAACTAAGAAATCCCTAGCTCAAAAAAAAGAAAACTCCACCTCGAACACCGAAACTTCACCGCGAAGCAGTTCGATCCATATTCTAAAAACTAAAGAAAAGTCGAGCTAAAAAACTTAGCCATTTTTCTCAAAATAAATAGATCGCCCTTCGCGACCTAATCATTTTATCTAGGCCCGATAAATCGAACATCGAACTCATGACTAGCGACCTAAGCCTCGAGCTTAACAACCCTAGTCCACTTCCCTAAGTTATTAAACGACTTAGCAAATATCCTACTCGAAAAAAATGCAAGAGACAAAAGATAAACAAAATCTAAGGCATAAAGCCCGATTGCATTAAACAAAAGCCCTTTCGGGCACGAATGAGTTTGAAAAATAAAAGGATTAAAGCCCTCCCGGGCACCAGAACAAGCGTAAAAGCCCCGCTGGGCAACCATGTTCGAAAATTAAATTTAAAAAAAAAAAGGAAGGGAAAGAGAAAGGAGCCACGGCCAACTGTCGAGCTAGCCACCCGCATTCTCGTCGTCATCCTCCCTCCTCGCCTCGTCGTTTCCTCCTTCCTCCACATTCGTACCAAACTGATTAAGGCCAGCGGGCGCACCTGAAACCGGGTCGACGTCCATAGCCACTGAGTCCTCGGAGTTCACGGGGAGATTCAGCCTGCTGATCGAGAAATCTGAGACATGGGCAGCCCTAAAGACCGCTCCCAAGTCCTCCTCTTCTTTGGTCACCCTGTCCAGCTCCTCCTCGACAGTGGTGGCCTTCGCGATAAGCTGCTCGAGCATCCCCTTGTTGGCAATACATTCCTGGAGATCGCACTCGGCCACACCCTCGACCTTCTTCCACTCCCAATTCAGTTGAAGACCTCGACCACCTCTATGAGCCTCCGAGACATATCCTTCCGAACCTTGCGGTTCGCCTTGCGGACATCGCTCTCGCGCTCGCGGACCAAATGGAGATTCTCCTCCTTATAGATCGCGGCCTCCTGTTGAGCTCGCTCCGCTGCGGCTTAAGCCTCGAAGATCTGGTTGGTGGCAACCTTGAACTTCTCGCCCTTGTCAACCAACTCATTCTCGAGGTCGGTGATGTGAGCTTGCTGGCCCTTGAACTGCCTGAGGATATTGGTCTGGCGAGCGACCTGCGCATTCGCGGCCTCTAGGTCGGACTTCAGCTTGCCGACTACCTCCTTCATTTCCTTGATCTCGTCCGGATGTGGAACGTCCCGCAACCTTTGCTCAAGACGAGCATATAGCCGGTTCCCAGCCTCTGCAGCCTGCGAGCATCGAGAACCAAAGCGTTAAGATAAACAACACTTAACCAATTTTACACAAGTCAAAGGGTATCCCCATACCTTTCCCCTGGGCCGCCGCCATCTCCACGTAGAGCTCCCTCTCAGTCATTTTCTTGAGAGCTGGAAGTTGGCACCCAGCGGGCTTGAAATGACGCCATATGGCCGCCATGCCCTCGGAGTCATCCGTGATCGGATGATCCTTGGTGTGCTCAAATTTCCAGTGGAAAGGCCGACTGCTCGTCGAACCACCACTCCCGTTAGACGCCGACGGACGCGGCTCAGCAGCACGACTTCCCCCGTCGTCTCTTGGCCTCTTGGAGGTAGGCTGGGAAGCGTGCTCGGGCTCCTGGTCATCAGCGAGCTGCACAGTCTTGCCCGAGCTCATGAAAATCGCCCCCACTAATCTGAGGGAAGGATCAGGCTGAGGGTTCATCGTCTGCTCGACCTCCTCGTCGTGGAGGTGATGTGCAGAAGCAGAAGCTGTGGCTAGCGCGGCCTCAAGGGCCTCCTTAACGCTCCCGGAGCGTACCCTGGAGCTGCTGGGACCAGCCGGGGCTTTTCCGGCTCTTTGACGGAAGGTGGGCTTGCGAGACATCGCTGAACTTGAACTTGCTGAACTAGAAGAAGGTAAAATAGAATGAAGAGGAAGAACTCCGGCTGCCAGCAAAACAAGTTAAAACATGTCATTCAGCGAGCAATAATCGTTACGCTAACCCACCAAACAATAAGGAACCGAGGGACCTACCGGGTGCGACAATCAGAGCCGGGCTGGTAGTGAGAGAACTCGTCGAACTCGTTCTCGCGTGAACGTGCTCCAGACAACCTCTCCTCGCTTGAAAAACTTTAGCCGGTGCTCGATATCGGGATCCTTGTGTGCTCTAGATAGCTGACCTGATAGACAAAAACTAGCAAAGGGTCAGAAAAATCACTCGAGCAAATCAAACCAAACATAGCTAACGAGCACTCGAGCCTAGCTAAACAATCGTTGCCCGTGAACTCGATTGGCAGCCGGGAGCAATCGAAGTCCCCGACGGACGCCTCGTTAATCCAGAACTTAAACCCGGTTTTCTCCCAACCAGAGTCCTTTTCCAGACTCTCCTCAATGAACCGCCGGTTCGACCTCGGGGACGCGTAGAAAGTCCCGGGACGACGGGCGTTGTACTTGACAGAGAAGAACGCTCTCAAGTCCGAGTAACGAAAGATGACGTTCTCCTCTTTGGCCCGTACGGCACATCCGATGATGGCCCGAACCAAGTTTGGACACATCTACGGGAAAGCCAGCCGCAAGTCCGTCAACACCTCGAGGACGAACCGAGGGATTGGGAAAAATAACCCTCAATCCCAGAAATACGTTGCGTACGCGCAACAAAAACTCGGCTCCACATGCACTGGAGTCTGCGCCGGCGTCAGAACGGCCAATTCAACCCGGCGGGGATTTCACATTCTCGACGGAAGTCGTCGAGAGCTTTCTGGTCGATCTTGGAAGTACCTACGGCGGTCCTCCCAGATTTTTCTCCCTCAATTTTCACTATAGCCGACATCGGAAAAAAAGGTGGCAAATGCTAAACCCAGAAACTAAAAAGTCAAAGCCTTTCTAGAGGAAAACTCGGCGAACGGTTTCTGAAAACTACATAAAAGGGAAGTTGCAGAAAATAAAAGGAAAGAGAAAGAGGAGGTTACCTTTAATCGACGAACTGATGCGGTTAAAGAAGGAATGGAAAAGGTGGGCTTTATATTGAGGTAATTATTATCAACCTCGAAGATCGCAGAAAATCTGGCCACGCGCCAATCTCAACCGTTCGATCCTCCCATCATAACCGTCGAATATTCGACTTCGACGATTTGACGCGCTGTACAGCTCGATCGATCGAGGCCCTTAGATCGACTTTCTCTCTCCCCATCCGAACCGTCCACGTCATCAAGCTTCAGTGCTAATCTTCTCGAGGGATGCACCTTGCCCCGCGAAGCTCGAACGCCAAAACAGAAAAGTAAATAATAATATTTAGCTCGAATCTCGATCGTCCACCTGGACGTGATAATAACAGATTTATCTCAACACGCCAAGTTACAGTCTCGAGGTCGATTCTTGGCCGCATGATCGATAAACTGTTCACCTTTCCAAGATCTGAGCCGTCGATCTTGAATGATTATCTGACTCCGTGACGTCAGCACAATCAAACACCAAATCTTTCAAAAGTCCCATCTTGCCGCCCATTAAAGCTGGAGCTCGCTCTCGTTAATGGGCTGGGGGGCAATTGTTGGAGCTAGATTTGACACCCCAAATCCGGCCCACTCAAGCCCAACGGACAGATCCAAACTATACCAAAAAGGCTGGGCTTCGACCTTACGGCCCAGCCCCATTCACCTTTCAACAACCCGATCCTGAGCAACAATTCATTCCGTTCGACGAGGTCGAACTCCAGCTCGACCAAATCCCAAAAAACGAGGAAGAATCCGAGCCGATTCAGAGCATATTCTCGCCAGTTCAAATGAGTCCGAAGATCGCAGAGGAAGTTGCTGCACGTGGCGAGATAACCGGTTGAGGCTGCTGCACGTGGCCGAGATACGCGTTGGAGCTCGAAGCTCGACGAGGCAAGCTATATAAAGAAGGAGAACGGCTTAGTTCAGGGGACCTTCGGCTTGATCTTTTTACACACTTTTTACACCCGAAAACACTGTAACTGCTCCCAGAGCTCTTTTCAGTTCATCTTTTTTATTGAGATCTTTGTAATCGTTTCATTCGACCGATTAATACAAAATCCTTATTTCAATTATTGCTATCTTATATTTTCAATCTGTTCGAGGAAATCTAGTCCTTAATCCTCTAAAGTTATTTCCTTACAAATACACATAAATTTCCGAGTGTGGATTTCGGTATCCACAGTCAACTAATAAAAAATAATATGTAGAATTTTAAAAGTTAAAACAATTAATTTTTGCATTAATTTTAAAAAATAAAGTTTTAGAATTTTTGGGTAGAAATTAATTTGCAAAAATAAAATTACAATAAGAAAAATCAGAATTCGCAAGCATACAGAAAGATTTGTGGTTGAAGATTTTGTTGGTTGGAATTGGGATATTTGTGGGTCCTTGTGGAAAATGTAATAAAAATAAGAACGAATTTATAACATCGCAAGAAACAACGCTGGATTAGTTGTTCAAGAATCAAATTTGTGCGTTTGTTATCGATTTTATAAGAATTTCATGATTATCAAATTGTTCTGCTAAGGGTACAATTATGGTTGTAGATTTATTCAAGACGCAAACAAACAAACGATTAGTAATTGAATACAAGTTTTCTATTCTCACCGCATATTATTGTAGCAGCTTCTAAAGCAAAGTAGGTAAGAATGAGATCTGCACCAGCTCGACGTAGGCAGATCAATGATTCCATCATAACTTTTTCCTCATCGATCATCTTCATAAGTCCCGCAGCTTTTATCATGGAGTACTCACCGGAAACCTGGCAAGCTCCAATGGGCAATAGAGTTTGGTTCTTCAATAAACGTATGATATCAAGAGAAGGAAGTGCTGGTTTCACCATTAGGATATCGGCTCCTTCAGCTTCGTCTTCACGTGCTTCGATCAATGCCTCTCTTGAGTTTGCTGGATTTATCTGATAACTTTAACAACAACAATTTGAGTAGAAGGGCTAGCTAAGAAACCTTATGTATACATATTCACATAATTATTCATGTATTTAGCTTATAATAGTACAAACGCAAATCTCGTACTAAACCCACGAAAAAGTTCATAGAAATCCTCTTGTCACTAAAACGTATATCAGTGGTTATCTGTGATTAAATTAAAATCGTAGCAGAAGAATTCGAACCCTAATCTAAATTCACATGGCAAAATCCTAACAACCACTAAACCGCGATAAGCTGGTTACAATTATACTAGTTTTCTTATTATTTTAAAAGAAATCTTATTTATTTTTGTATGAAATATATATCTACGAAGTGTAAGCGAAATACTATAAATACAAGCAAAGTTTCTTCTGCGTTTTTAGTTGAGAAAAAGTAAATAAATGAAGGTTATGGTATCATTTGAAAAAGTACTAATTTGTGGCACCAATATTATTGCTTAATTATGTAATATAAATGTGTAATTTGGTAATATTAATAAATAATACGAATTTTTTATCCATAGATTTTGTTTGTTTTCTATATCTACCATTGCCTGCGAGACTCCACTGTATTTACTCACGTACAAAAAAGAGACATGTTAATGCGCAAAAACTATTGGTTTTTTTTTTTTAACCGGGAACTAACCTTGATGAATGAAGAGTGGATATATGAAATTTTCAGGAGAGACATTACTTTCTTGAAAGGCAGCCCTATGAGTAGGGGACTTGCGATTACAACGTGGACGTTGGTTTAGCTGCTGAAACCACTTAGCTCACATGAGGTTGTGAAGGACAAAAGAAGTATGAAAGCTTAAAAGAAAAAAAATGTCACTTTTATTTTTTGTTTTTGGCTAGCTAAGAAAATATGGCCCGAGGTCCATAGTCTCCTTAAACCAGAAATCATAACATGTTAAACTGGATATTTCGGTCCTCTCTCTGTCACCATTAATGCTAGCTTGTACTAGGATCTTAATGAGTACACTTGTATAGTTGCATTTAGATGGTCAAGTAGTACATCCGTTGACCTACAACGTTGGTTAAGAAAATTATGTCCACTTACAAGAGGCTGATCAATCAATGGCTTAGCTAATTTACTCGGCATTGGAGGCATGGCTGGTTTAGTTGTAATTGTAGGCGCTGCTGGTTTACTCGGCACTAGAAGTGCCTCATGAGCATGTACCGGCCATATCATGGCGGAGTCGAATCTTTGTAGTTGACAAGCAACTTCTATGCTTCGGAAAGGATTGATTCTCACATTATACGTCGCTGCTTTAAGGCCGACGTAGCTCTTCTGCTCAAGCCCTTTCATCGACGGAATCTTGCAAGGAGATCTAAACATGGATGACGTCATTTATGTATGCTGAAAAATGGGAAGAAAGAAAACTCGTAAATGAAACCAAGATGTAAAACTCAGAGAGGGAGACTTTTTATTTATAGTATTTTTTCACGTTGAGAGAGAAATCTTGGAACGTAAAATTATTTATTTATTTTTGGGTCGCAAATCTCGATTACATTAACGTGCAGCTAGTGTACATGTAACATGACAAAGTAAAATTATCATATTTAAATTTCATTGTGAATGATCTTATAAGCAGATCTTATCGTAGATGATCTACGATATCTTGGTGTCGACAAATCTCGTGGTTGACAAAATTCATGTGATATGATATTGAAATAAATAGAGTAAAGTACCTACCGATTAGCACGTTAACTCTTTTCTTTTTGGTGTTAGTTTAGACGTTTTAGATGAAGGAAATCTGATTTTTTCAATAAATTTCAAGATTAGTCGTTTTATTCCAGTATATATCTACATTAGAAAAACATCTGAAGTATACAAAGTTAAGAGGAAGTGATCATAGATCCTTATTTTGTTTTGTACGAAGACTGCATGTGAGAGTACACACATACACACGTACTATAATGCTTTTTTTTTTTTTTTTATCGTTTCTTAATCAGTATTTTATTTATTTTCTTCTTGATAGTACATTATTTATATTATTTTAACATAATATTGTTTTATTCATATAAATTATCTTATATATATATAATATGCATTTATGTTAGAGTTAGTGTGTTCGGCATATAACTTGCATGTTTTTTATATTTGGAGTGTTCTATTGGGTACTATAAAGTTTGTGCAGATTTGCTGGAGTTTGAAGGATGAGTTAGAATCAAGGAGAGCTGAGAAAGAAGCAACCAAAAATTATCCAACACCATATCGATATGTGGTTCTGCAACAAATCGATACCAAAGAGACAGGGAAGGGCATATCAAGGTGATTGTATCCATATCACTGATAGGGTCAGGTTTTACCCAAATAAAATTACTGCAAGTGCACAGCAAAAGCAGTTGTAGTACAAGGAGTTATCGAATCCCAAGGGAGTATGTAAACCACACTAGCGATTATAGATTCAGATTAAGCTAAGCGATAAATAGTGAATGTAATGCAAAACAGTAAAATAAATGCAAGAGGGCGTTTTTATGCTTGTTCTTAAAGTTCAGAAGGCTAAAGGTGCTAAGTCAGGACAGTTCGCAGGTTGAATCCGAGAGTGTAGAATGCATGCAATCAGGAATGAATTAAAACCGTCTTGAACATGAATCGCAAAGATATAACTAATCAATTCTCATTGCAGAAGTTATCTATGTCTAAGTCACAGAGTTTCAAATCTCTTTGTAAACCCTAACAACCTAAACATGCAGTAATGATCAGGTTCAATTGTTCACAAAACTCCTAAGCCAAATCTCTTTGTACTAGGGCGTTTTGCTCATCTAATACTAGTTCAGGTGATTAATAATGCTCTCACATCTATCAAAAACCTAGGGTTTCGAAATCCAGATGATGTGTCTAAGAAATCGATATGAATGCAAGCACAGATGAAGAACCAATGAATTTCCTATAAGTTTTTAGCAATTCTACAAACTCTTCTTCAACCTTTGAAAAGCCCTAACTTAACTGATAAACTACTCAGACATGGTGATTTGAGAAAACATCATGAAAAAAATAGATTGCATAAAAGAAATAAGAAGTAGAAATAAAGGAGTTCAAAATCTGCTCTGAAGGAGTCTGATTTGTCTCTCCAAAAGCTCTGCTACAAATCTCTCTCTAAAGCTCTCAAAAATAATAAGATACAAGATATCTGCCAAAAGAATGGCTGAAAAACCTAATATACAAGCTAAAACACGATCTGGGGCCTTTTTGCAAAAATTGGAACTTCTGGGCCAAAACTGCAATTTCTTCCTAATCTTTTAAAAACAGGCCACGACCCCTTCCTCGATGGGTGGCGAGCGTGACCAAAAGTGGTGACGAGCGTCACCCATATGCATACTTTCCTTCCCGAGTTGGATACTTCGTGGCTTCAACTTGCAATGCTCCAAAAAGCTCCAATATCTCCAGTTATGCTCCAGACATGCTATAACCTGCAAAGACTCTTCTAGGACTCTAAAAAGACCAAAAAGACTCAATAAAAAGAACTTATATCATGGTTAAAAACCATAAAAACCATGATATGTCAACTCCCCCAGACTTAGCTTTTGCTTGCCCTCAAGCAAACATCAGACAAAGAATAAGGTCGAGGTTTGAAAACAAGAAACAGTCAGTCAGTCATCAGAAACACCATACTAGTTAGAGCTTTCGAATCCACATACCACATAGTCAACACAAGATCAAATTTCAGTCTAATCATCACAAGCTTAGCAAATCTCTCAAGTCCAGTCCAAATCCCTTCAAGAAATCCGAAATTTCTACTATCAACTCCTTATTTTTTTTTATCTAAGTGTGATATCTCATCAAGGCTCTATCATCTCAATCACTTTACAGATTCTTTTCCCTTCCTAACAACTAAACAAATAGATCTCAACACAACTCTCCTATTTTCTCTTTCCTTAATCTTTTCCTTAGGATATTTTCGATTTTTCACTTCTTTTTCTCAACTTTTACAGTCTAAGATATGGTGCTACTCAATACTTGTGTTCCTTGTGAGGAGACAGGTTCTTGAATGTGTTCACTACTGTTGTTCCTTGTGAGGAGACAGGGTCATGAATGCACCATTCTTTGGACTTAATCTTTTAAAAACTACATCAGGGAAGATCAAAGAGAGACTGCATTTTAACCTTATTTTCAGTGCTGAAAGAGAGAATCAAGATCAAATAGAATCAATCACCAAGATAAGAAGTTTAAAGTTCATTAAGGTGGAGCTTACAGCAAATTTTTCAGACTCTCTAAGAACCTAAACCTTCATTGTTAGACTGATCTACCTATGACTTTCAACTTAGTTAGACTTGTAATCAACTACTGTGGCAATGGTTCTTATCAGCAAAAACGTCCTATGGTTAGTTCCAAGAAAAACTGACAGTTTCAAAAATTTTGACTCTATAAAACAGGTTTTTGACTCAACTTTAAGACTCTATAGACATGACACAAAGCACACAACGTCAGTAACCACCTCCCCCAAACTTAAACAACACTGTCCCCAGTGTTATTAAGCGAAGAGTTGGTCAAAATGAAGCATGAGAACATGTAAAACCAAGGTGGAAAAGTGGTACCTCGCGAAGGAGCTAGTGACGAGCGTCACCAGATTGGTGACGAGCGTCACCATCTCTGATACTCCAGAAATCAACATGTTGGATGTTCAAATGCTATGCCATCATGTGTACTCCGAAGTCAAACTGTAAGAGCACTCAAAACACACATCAAAACATTCAAACAAAGCATAATCCATGGTCCAACAAGTTCACAAGATATCATCCAAGCAAACTGAACAAAGTGACTCTTTTTTTTTTTCGATTTTTCTCATGTTTTTGGGTTTTTTTTTTAGCTATGTAATAGAAAACTAAACTAATATATGAAATATAAAACTTATCAGTAGGTTGCCTCCCACTAAGCGCTTGTTTAAAGTCATTAGCTCGACTTTGATTGCTGTTCAGACAGCTGGTGGAACAGAAGGTGGCATTGAATGCCTTGGAGGAGAATGTCTCCTCATCCATGGTGGTTTATAAGCAGTAGATGTATGAACACTTCCAAGGAAGTGAGGAACATCAGCAGAGTGGGTCGTGACTGTGGGTGGGATACTTCTTTTTCCTGCAGAATCATCAAAATAAACACCAAGCATTCTACGAGAATCTCGTTGCTTGCATAAGTGTGAAGCAGCTTTTTCACTTTTTAAATTCTTATTGATGAGATTAGGAGGTTTGGATTTGGTTCCAGGAAGTGCATACCTTTGCCTAGTTGCAGGTTTCTGGGTTGTGGACTGTTGAGTTTTCGGATTGGCAACATATGATGGACTTGTAGAGCAAATATCACGTCTCTCCTTTGTGTCCAGGTTGGTGACGAGCGTCACCAGGTCAGTGACGCTCGTCACTGACTCTGCAGTTCGAGTTTCTGCAGTTTTCCTGCAATTCAGCTCTGCAAGTGTTGCTTCCATCACATACACGTCTTCCTCCAGCAACTTGGCATTCATTAGAACCTCTTTTTCAAGCCCAGTCATGAAGATATGATCCTCACTGCAATCCTCAAACCCAACAGCTTCTGCAGAAGTTTCAGATATTGGCTCTTCAACAGCCATCTTGCTCACTTGCCCACTTATATCTGATTCATTGACACACTCAGCAATAATGCCTTCTGAATGCTCCATGACAGTCTTTTCATCTCTGGAAGTTCTTACAGAAAAGGTGTGACCATCAATGGTAGAACTCTTTCTTAACTTATCCATGTCAAAGTTCATGACAACATCACCAAGATCAAGCTCAATGTTCCCCCTTCTAACATCAATGATGGCTCCAGCAGTAGCCAAGAATGGTCTTCCCAGAATAAGAGGATCTTTAGGTTCTTCAGCATATTTCAGAACCACAAAATCTGTAGGAATTATGCAGCCTTCAATGTTAACATGAACATTCTCTAACATGCCTTCTGGGGTTCTTATGGATCGATCTGCTAGGATGAGAGAGATCCCAGCTGGCTTGAAATCAGTCATTCCAAGTCTAGCAGCAACAGAGAAAGGCATCAAGTTAATACTTGACCTTAGATCACATAGAGAGTGTGGAAAACGTCCTGCAGATATTGAGCAATCAAGCACAAAGGTCCCTGGATCAGATAGCTTCTCTGGAACTCTGCTTTGAGTGATGGTATTGACTTGTTCAGAAACAGTCACCTTCTTCTTCTTCTTTGGAACTGTGCCTAAGAGAATTGCACTGATGTCTCTGGTAAGCAATGCTCCTTCCTCAGGACTTACACCATTGACCACCATCCTCTTTACATACCTTCTTAGAGCTGGTGAAAGCTTGACTGCATCAACAAGTGGGATCTCAAGCATCAGCTTGTCTATCATAGCTTTGCATCTCGCTTCTTCTATCTCCTGTTTAGACTTCCTAGGATGCTTTGGGAATGGTGTTTTGGGTTTATAGACACGTTCCTGGTCATAATTTGCAGTTACAGGCGAAG